TTTCTGAAAAGGACTCCAACTGCTCAGGAAATAATGCCAACAATTGAGAAATGGGGATTTCATTGCATCAAAGGTGTCTGCATAGTAACACCGCAAAGATACCTACTGAATGGGAAAAAATCTTCAACTACACACTTTACAGAGGGTAAGAACTACAAAGAACTCAAAAACGAAATAACAAGGAATCAAAAACCCAATCAATAAATGGGCTAATAAAAGGAACAGTCAGTTCTCAAAAAAAAGAAGAGAAAAAAAGAAACACATGTGGCCAAAGACATGAAAAATGTTCAATTTTGCTGGCCATTTGAGAAATGCAAATTAGAACTACAAGGGGATCATCTCTCCCCCTAATCAGAGTGGCAGTCCTTAAGAAAACACATAGCACTTAGTGGTTACCAGTTACCAGTTCAACTGGAGAACCCATCTCAAAAACTAAGGTGGAAAGTGACTGAGGGAGATGTCCAATATTGACCTCAGGCCTCCACATACATACATATGAACACACACACACACACACACACACAGTGAAAAAGCTAAAATTTTGAATTTTTCAAATGTATTTACTTTGTATGGGTAGGTGTGTGCCCACTTGTCTGTAGGTGTACCAAGTGCATGTAGTATCTGTGGAGGCCAGAAGAAAGTTGCAGATCTCCTTGGAACTGGAGTTACAGCTGTGAGCCACCCGATGTGCATGCTGGGAACCAAACCCAGGTCCTCTGCAAGAGCAGCCAAGTGCTCTTAATGGCTGGGCCATCTCTGCAGCCTCCAAAATTTTTAATTTTGACAAAGTCGAATTATCTTTTCCTAAATCAAGACAATTATGGCTTGTTTAAGATAATTTTTCTTGGTGTGTTGACACACACCTATAATCCCAGTACTCGGGAGGCAGAGTCAGAAGGCTTGCCACAATCATAAGATTACCCTGAATTACATAGCAAGTTCAAGGCTAGCCTAAGCTACATAGAAAATCTGAAGCTACTCTGGGTTATAGACACCCTGTATCAAAAAGAAAAAAAAAAGAAACTTTCATACTAAGTCCAAGTTTAGTAACATAATCTCATATGTTTTCTTCTTGAAGTTTTATAGTTCTAGCTTTTCCATTTTGGTTTGTGTTCTATTTTTGAGTTTATTTTTTTGTTTTGTTTGTATGTGGAGGTAGAAGGTCCCTCCATCCATCCATATACGATGTACTATCACTCTTGCATCATTTTCAGAAAGGACTATATCTGTCCATATTGAACTATCTGGACAACTTGCTGAAAATGAGCTGTCCATAGTGTGTGGAGGTCTGTTTCCGATTATCCATTCTGACAACTGATGTATGGCTTTACACCAACGCCATACTCTTTTGAAGTCAGGTAGAATAAAACCAATTTATGTTAAGGACTCTAAATCCTTTGGGTTTCTGTATGAACTTTGAAATCTGCTTCTCAGTTTCTAAGATCATTTTGATTGCTAGGAAGCTACAGCAACCAATTTGGAAAGAACTGACACCTTAATACTAAACTTCCTGGGCATGCCTTTAATTCCAACACTCAGGAGGCAGAGGAAGTGGACCTCTGTAAATTCAAGTCCAGCCTGGTGTACAGAGAGAGGTCCAGGTCAGCCAGGGCTACACAGAGAAACCCTGTGTCAAACAACAACAAAAACCCCAAACTTCCTGACCCATAAACAAAGTATGGCTGCCTAGTGTGTCTACATATTTGACCTTCGACTTCTCTCCACAGTTTTATAGTTGTAGTGTACAATCTACATCATTTTACATCTTTTGTCTCTCACATGTTTATAAACACTTCATTTTTTTATTCTAGAAAGTTTCCATTGAATACTTGGTATAACTCCCAAGTAAAACCATCTGTGGCTGTAATTTTCCTTAAGGGGAACTTGCAACTACAAATTCAACTTCTATGCAGACATGGGGACTTTCAGGTTAAGGGATTCGGCATTTTACATCTTTGAAATAATATGGCATTTCCTCAGAAGTGCTGTGTGCTGGCTTTATCTCACCCAGCACACTCCTGGCTCTCTCTTGGACCCTGCTAAGTCACTCCTGGTCACCCTCTGCTGTCAGCGATTCCTTTCCTTTTTTGTCTTCTCTTCAGCTCCGCTGGAGATGCACCACTTTATTAGTCGTCTCTATGACAGAGTTCTGGTCTTCACTGATTTTTCTCTATTACTTTTCATATTTCACAGACTTCTGCTGATTATATCCTTACAAATTACTTTTTTGTTTGCTTCACTGCCTTTCTCTTTGTTTCAAAGGCATTTGGTGCCTTTGAATGTTACTTTTGGCCCTACCCACAAAGTTTGGAATGTTCTGATTTTGTTTTTGTTTTTCATCTACTGTGATCTGTGGGTTATATAGATCACTTTAGTTTCCAAATACTTGAAGGCTTTCTGAGTATCAACTGGGATAGAGCACATACTTTTTCTACAACTTGCAATCTTTTAAAATTTATTAAGTTTGCTTTATGGCCCATGCAATGTCCTAACCATTAGT